GCCCTCCTGACCACGACAGGGTCGGGACACAAACCCGCTGCGCCTATACCGGTGGTCAGAGAGACTACAGGCCTACAACTTCTCGACAGTGTTCACACCCGGCAGAGATAACGTTGTGGCTGATCTGCTCTCCAGGGCCACGCCCGCTCTAACTCAGACACCGCCCCGGACGGCTCTGAGTCAGAGCTAATCCTCATGCTGCACGAGCCCCTCCGAACAACCGTCTCCCTGCAGGAGCCCCAGGCGGCCTCTGCACAGGACCCTGTGCTCATGCAGCTCCGCACGTTTATCCAGGAGGGCTGCGACGGTGCCAGAGGAGCTGGCGCCCTTCCACCGGGTCAGAGACGACCTTTCCTGCTGGAACGGTGACTGCGTCGCTCGGGGACTCTGCACGGTGATCCCCAGCTCTCTACGAGCACGCATCCTGAACATGGCACACGACGGTCACCTGGGCATCATGAGAGTGAAGCAGCGCTGCAGGAGCCTGGTTTGGTGGCCAGACATCGACAGGGACATTGAAACGATGATGAAGGACTGCACCGCCTGCCTGACCAGCGGTAAGACGGGCCCACCCCCGACGCCACCTTTGCAGCCCCTCCAATGGCCAGCGTCGCCGTGGTCCCACATCCAGGTGGACATCTGTGGGGAGCTCCATGGCACTCCTCATCACCAGCGGTTCCTGTTGGTGGCCTACGACCTCCACTGCAAGTGGCCGGAGGTCCTTCCCGTGGGGTCAGTAACCACTCAGCAAATCACTGACTTTCTTTCCTCCCTGTTTGCCCGCTGGGGTGTGCCACACACCGTTACCATGGACAACGGGCCCCAGTTCCTCTCGGCTGACTTCGCTGCCTTCACGGGGGTGAGAGGGATCAAGCACATCAGGACAGCCCTGTACCACCCGCAGGCCAATGGGGGGGTGGAAAGGTTCAACCAGACCCTCAAGAACGGCCTGAGAGCGCATCTGACTGAAGGTCTTCCATTTAGCGCGGCCCTGCAGAACACACTACTGCACTACAGACCTACGCCACATGCCACGACAGGTGGCTCCCCAGCCCTTCTGATGCTTGGACGGGAACTCCAACTTCCCATGGATCGACTACGGCCTTCCAGGGGAGATCCTCCAGGGCCTCCAGCAGCAGCAGCTGTCGGCGACATGGTGGCAGAGACGCAACGCCGGATGAAGCACCACTACGACAGGGCGCGTCGGGTGAGGGGACACACGCTCAAGGTGTCAGACTGGGTCCGTATCCGCCGGCCCCATCGGTCCCACGATGTGCTATCCTTCTGGTCCTCACCCCAACAGATAATAGCACAACTGGGCCCAGCTACGTTCCGCCTGGCTGACGGCTCCCGTTGGCATGCCCGTCAACCCCCCATCAGCACAAGAACTGGCCGCCGCGGCTGATCCGCGCCACCCTGCCGGAGACTGGGATTTCCCTCCGGTAGCCCCGGCAATCCCACCCGAACCCGAGGTGCCGGGTGACCCCCTCGGACCGAGGCTCCGCCCTGTTCGGGCTCGTCGGCAGCCCCTGTACCTCAGAGACTATGTCTTTAGTTCAGGTTGCTCGTCGACAGCCCCTGTACCTCAAGGACTATGTCCTTAATTCAGGCTTAGGTTAGCGCATAGTCTGTTATGTGGCATAATAAACCACATGACTATGCAGGTAAACAGGTAGTCTACCCTGTTTACCCAGATAGGTTGGCCACGTTCTGGCCTTAAAGTGGTGTCCTGTTAATATTGTTTGAATGTTTTTTTGCACTTTAAAAAAAAGGGGGGTGAATGTGGCATGTAACCATAGCCACAGGGTCAGGTTACGACGGCGTGACGTCACGGCCGTAAAGTGTTGATATAAAAAGGTGACTACTAGCAATAAACGGCAGTGAGCACAGAGTCAGACTCCACGCGTTTATTTGAACACAACAGTGAGGACATATAAAGATTTGAAACCACATA